CAATTTTAAGGGAAATTTTTTTTAGAATGGGGTGCCAATTTGGATTCCCGGGCGGCACATACCCACCCAAAAAATACCCAAGTGCCCCCCCCCGGGGAGAAGATTAAGATGAGAACAGTTAATTTTAAGCGGTACACGGTCGATTATCTCTAAATATGGCAAATTAAGACCATGAAAAGGAAAATAGGAAATTCCTGGGGGGTGGGGGGGGTTATACATGACCCCTCTGGATGGGAAATTCTGAGGGGGTGGAGGGGTCTAATCGGAAGAACCATCCGTGGGAGGGGTATGGATATTTTCTGGAATCACACATTACAAAAAACAGGCCCTCTGGTCTGAACTTCTCTAAACTAATTACAATCTTCCAAAAACAATTTGAGAAGAAAGGTTTTGCACTTAGCCTCATTTTGAAAGTGAGAGGAAATGGCCTATTAGCATATGGTCTTACTTGGGATAGTCCTCCATTTAAACAGGTTTGTAGTGCTTCCTGGCTTGGTTTTAAAGCTACAAACTAAATAATCCATACATTTCAGTGAGTCAAACGTCCATAAATGACACATTTTTTTCTGGCTGTACTTAAACAAGGATACCCAAGGAATCAATTATTAATTAGATGGCAATTCCTGGGTTTTAATCCTTTTGGATTTAGTCCATGCTCATGACATGGTAAACATTTACTATTAGTTATCATCTTCTTCCTCAAGCAGTCCCCTGGTTATCAAACACCACACAGGATGCTAAGAAAAGTACTGATCAAAGAAATGTGTTACATGAGAATCAACCTCTTACTTTCAATCTCAAGCAATATTGCTGAAATGAAATTTTAAATAGACCACATAATTCACTCCATGGCTGAAAATTCCTTGTCACATGTTTCTTATTATAAACAGTATGGCTAAATGCAAAAAGAGTGATTTCACTGACATTAGCTTCCCAGCAGACGTCCTTTGGGGTTCGTTCATCACGCATTCATTTTGACGTCTGCGGGGAGGCTACACTGATAGTGAATGAGCAATTTTTGACATCTGACAAAGGCTGAACTCTAAAGCTGACCCTTCTTTGCTTGAGAAACTTCCCTTTAAATTAACGAAGTCTTAAGGTAAAAAAGGTATAAGCTTTTAGCACCACTCAACCTAAGATCTCTCCTGCATTCATGGGCTATCTTGAGTGGAGGCTTTTTTACTGTCTACCAGCTCTCAACCAAAAGTAAACAGCTTTTATATTAAATTATAACTCATAAATGTTTGCTGCCACTGACTATAGTTATAAAACATTATTTGAGCAACATTTAAATCAGAGTAAAAGCCAAAGGAATGTGCAGTGGGCTTTCAGCAATTACAGAGATCTGAAATCAGCAGCAGAAATAATTAAATTCTGAAATGCATCTATCCTCAATCCCATTTTAGCGCAACAGAGAATGCTTATAATATTTAAAATTGGGATTATTTTATTAAATATACACTGCTCAAGAGTATACTCACTCAAAAACATAAACTTTTAAATGCAAAGTTTATAATGACTAAGTTCTAGCCAATCGGAGGAGCGACCAATGTTTTCACATGTGAGTAAAATAATTCATCCAATCTAATCAGAATCGCTTGAATTCTATGCACTGTTTCCCACCTTTTATAGGCGCTTACTTCACCGGTTCATTGTTTGTGAAAAGAACACAAAAAGTTGACATTTCTTCTAATTATTGCTGTTACATTGCATCATTTTCCTTGTTATCATTTTTGACAATAGTTTTTTAACAGGTTTATTTAGTTTTCCTAGTCATTTTGTTAAGTGGCAGCAAATACATGTATTATCATGATTTTGACATTCTAGGAAGATTTGAAGAAAAAAGCTAAATAAGCATGGCAGATGAACATCTCAGTATGTAAGTAAAAACTTGCCTATACAATATACATGCACAGTTTCCATGACTATTCTAAAAATATCATTTTTTTTTGTTAAAGTTACTTACATCCTGGGGTGATGGTAGCGTTAAATTATTTAATTCAAGGCTGAACACTGCATTGCTGAAAAGAAAAATCCATGTTAAACATGTATTTAAAATATCACAGGGGGAGGTGGGGGGTTTGGGGGGTTTGGGGGGGTTGGTAGTCTGTACGCGCCTTAACAGCTTGTCATGTGCTCCGGTCACGCACCGGGCTCCAGGGCTTCAGGTCTGAAATAGGGTATCAAATTTTTGATCAGGTTTGAAATTGGGTAGGGAAAATCACAGATTTTGGTCTGAAATAGGTTAAGGGTTTCTTGAAGAGTGCAGCACACCCCCACCCAATTTTTCTGGAAGTACCCCCACTCCCGCAAGAATTTTGGGTGGAATTTTGGGTCACAAAAGGCAGGTCATTGTCCTCATTTCTCGATCTAATCTCCAAGCAGGCGACACGGAATGTCGCTGTAAGCGTGTTCTTGTTATGAATTAAATAAGCCATATATGAGTGGTAAAGAACAGTAGTAAAGCAATATTTTCTTTGGATATATTACCATGTCCATAAATTTATTATAGCAATGCTCCTGTCTAGGAATCTACAGTGCTGTATTTCTGTATTTCTAATGAAGTCCATTCATAGATTAGAAAGTTCCGCAGTTGCAAACAGAACAATTCTTTCTTTTTAATCTAATGTTATAAATTAATTTAATCTATTTTCACTTAAATTCTAAATTTATACACATTTTACTTACGTCGCTCCAGCAATAAGTCTTTTATTTGTCTCATCAATAAGAATATTTTCTACCCGGGATATTGCTGTTCCATTAGAAGGAAAACGTAGGCAATCTACAAGTATAGAGTAAAAAGTCTAAATATTATGGTCAAATATTATAGCACGTTCTTTGGGTTAATCTGCACTTAACATCAGGCAATAGTCCTGTTTTCCAACTGTTTCAGTTTAAGTCAGTATGTTTGAAGGGTACACAGAAAGCAAAATTTCAAGATAGTTCATGGGTTTTAAAGTGACAGGAGGCTCAACTTCTACTTTTCACTTTCTTTCCTCCCCTCTTCTCTCCCTAGTCACGTTCACGTTCCCGAGTCCCCTTTATTGTGGGGCTTTTAAAGTCCCTCGTTAACTCGCTGACAGCGTTAACAATTTACGTTCTTTTTAATTGTTGGATGCGAAGAAGGAACAGGCAGTAATTTCATTTGTTATGCTTATCGGCCAAGGTCATGCAAGGCAGTAACTGCATGTTAGGCAATAATAGAATAGCTGGGTTATTCACTGTCTTATATATATGCAATGCCTGTCACCATCTCTTGCAGCAACCAAAGCCTTCTATTCTCTCCTTCATTGCTACTTTTGTTCAAGCTGAAAACTGTACAGAATATTGTTCTGTATTATTTATCTATTATCCCAAGGTTATCAACTGTAATAATCGGTTGAACTGTCAACAAAATACTTGGCTATAATGCTTTGATGCTCTTGGCAGTGGACAAATAAATTATAACTCCATTTCTAGCATAAAATCTTCAGCAAGAATCAACGACAGCAATTGTTAGGCAATTTCCTGTATTATGTATGATGCGCTAAACTTCTATCACGGGATTCATGCTATGTTGAAATCCATGTTGATGCATGCAAGAGTGTCATGTCTGCGTTACAACTTTAAGCTTTCAACATGATGTAGGAACATGTTCAGTCGGCTAATCAAGCAAAAGGAAATGCTAGCCTATAGCTACAAGTGTACATACACTCGCTTGTTAGTCTAATTTTTGCAATACACAGAGCAACTTGTAGGCCATAAAAACAGCAGCCGATTTGTTTATAAGAATTAGGGACTCTGACATAGTTTGAAGGATCTCTTCCCTCTGCACAAGTTGGAAGACACACTTGCCCTTGACCATTAAAAGTGATGACATCACAAGCACTAAAATACAAGGGATATGGATCAGCATGGACAGTTAAAGGCAGTTTTGGAGCGAATGCGTTAATCTGATGTTCATTCTCAGTGCTTCTTCATATTGTAGCCTGCTCATATGGCAAATATCTTCAAGCATCATTTAAGCCTTATCTTGGTTTTTCACTAGTACATTAATTATAGATTGCATGCACTTGATAGTCTTATGTCAAACGCATGGTTGTTCATTCACACCATACAAGTCTATAAACAATCATATGTTGTATAACCAGAAAAACTCAATGCTCATTATCACAAGTACTACACCTATCATTTTTTCATGGGCCTGGGGTATTTCTTTCCAACATGAGGCCAGCCAAAAAAGGCTCGTGACCAAGCAAAAATCAGTTTTGCAGGTCAAAATGACTGCAGGTATACCTTAACTTGCAGATTAACAGACAAGTTACTGATATGTTTTTCAGGTATAGCCACTAAATGAAATTTCTGCCTTAACACATTTGCAACTCAACATTCTGGTAAATGCCAATGTAGAACCACGTCCCTTGTAATACCTGTGATGTCATCAATAGACCACATTCGATATGTTAAAATTCCAAAATGACTCCAAGGCTTCATAGACAAAATGGCAAATTTTTCATAACTCCATTGTAAAAATCCCCTGTAATATTAAGTACCCACTAATTGATTTTCTTAAAACTTGTGTTTGTTTAATTACTCACTTTTTTAAAAACCATGTTTCGAACTGCATGCATTGATCTGGCTGACACATCAACAGCGTGCAAAGAAAGTCCTCTCCGATAGCCTGGGGCTAGCCTAGTGGATTTTGCAAATGACAAGTGGGGCAAGTGATTTTTTGTTCTTAACTTGCCCGACGGGTAGATGTTTTTTGAGGGAAATTCGAATTACAGAAGGATTGTAATCGATAGTGCTAATCAAAAAGAGTTTTGGGCTAGTACACCCTAACTACAACTTGCCTGAATTGCATGCTGTAAAACTGACTTTCTTTGCACCCTGCATCAATATCCCCTTTTCAAGTTATCCAATAACTTTGCTTTTACTTAACCATTAATTTTCTTAGCATGCTACAATCTTGGACAAAACTGTTGAGAAAATTGCATACTTGGGGGGCATTTTTTCTAAACTTCATAGCCGACCGATTCTTCCCTCCCCCCATCCCCCTGGAAGCAGTGTTGTTGGGTCATCAAAAGAAAGCCGGATCCCTAAGCATTTGTAGGAAGCAACTTTGAACTGGGGGAGGGGGTTTTCTCAGCGCAAAGCCGTTGATTTGGAAATAGTTTTGTTGCGTTAGGTAGTGCACATTAATGAAAACATTTTCTCAAGTAGTTTTGTCCAGGATTGTATTTGACTGAAAAAGTCGATTTTGAGCATTTGACGCTGGCGCATCAATCTGTTCTTCATATATTTCGTACATTTCACAGAAAAGTAGATAATTAATGGAAAATAAGTGACAACAGAGGAGTTGATGACAAGAAAATCAACTTGTATGTCTTTCTTGATTCAAGTAGCCAATCGTGAACGTTTGTGAATTTCATTTTCCATGCAGGGTTTTTACGCACCCTTCGAGTGCAGAGGAGCAGGCATAAATTACGTTTTTGGCGGACGAGAAGGACGTCTCCGTCAAGGAGATTAACCAGAAAACGGGAATTTCACCTGCTACTATTCGACCAACAAATAACACATGGAACTTTTGCTGAATTTTCAGGGCGCATGACCCATACTTTCAACAATTTTCCCATCGCCGAAATAGATAACACAATCAAAGTCAATGAACAAGCGCTTGCCCTTAGTAACAGCATATCAAATGGAGAGAGGATGAAATATTAACAAAACTTGTATTTTTACTTTCCAAATTTGAAAGCTTACTTTTGACATTGTAGCGATGTCCAGTGCAAAAGATCGCACTATGAAATCTAGAAATGTCACGCGCAGTAACGTGACAAGATGTACTATCGTGTGACCTGTAAGAGTGCATGTTTTGCCCTTGGGCTATTTATAGCTACATATGACTGGAAGGAATTATGAGATAAATTCATCATTTGTAAAGCAAGAGATAGTAAAAATTGCCACAGTTGTCTTGTAATCTCTTTCTCTCCACAATATCTAAGATTCGGAACGAATGACAGGACATTTTTTAGGTGCTACCAAGATTAGCAACGGTTAACAACAATTAACAAGGACGTTTCATAAGAATCAGAAGGTCATTTACTTTTAAAAACGAAATGGTGTTAACCATTTCAATGCTTTGTTAATCGTAACATTATTCTATTCATGGAATTATCATAAAAAGTTAACCGACTTGTAGCAAACGAGGTTTCTGTAACTCTCATAGTTAAGCCAATTTTAAGATCTCAGAAGCAGTTTCCACGTGACAGGATACGTTTCCATATTGGCTTCACTATACGTCACTAAATAAACACTATGAACTTCTTTTCTTCTAAGAAAACCGTCATCCAAGTCTTGTTCCTACTATTTTGAAAACTATAAATCACTTTCCACACTTTCCAAGCCTGCCAGGTTTTAACAACACGAAAACATGTAACAATGAGCACGCGTTCTACGGCTACTGCAAAATCTTACTGTTTCAAGAGGGTGCAGCAAAAAACGTACATGAGGTCGTACTTTTCTATGAGAAGATGGTGTGCCGTGAGACATTGTGCTCAAAACTCAGCTTCTGTAAAGTGCTTTTTATTGGTAGGTTTCAGTTTTGTCCAACGCGAATCACCTTACATCGCAAAGCCGTTGATTTGGAAATAGTTTTGTTGCGTTAGGTAGTGCACATTAATGAAAACATTTTCTCAAGTAGTTTTGTCCAGGATTGTAGACAGAACTTTTATTTGTGAAAATCTGTTATTTTATTCTGCTGGTGAAAAGATAATTCAGAGAATCAACATAACACCACATTACCTCTACATTTTCCATAAGAAAGAACATCAGCCAGGGTATAAGAGATAACAACACTCAATATACATATGAACAGGCACTTGCACAGAGTACCTAGAAATAAAATTAAATACTAAAGTTCTTTTAGTATGAATGCACATGTTTTTATCCCAACTTAATAATAATAAATTAATAGACACTGTTTTCACCCCAGACTGTACCAGGGATTGGAACCATAAATTCTACAGCAGTCAGTCTACCACGCAGCACAAAGGACCGATTATTTGTTGGGCAAATTTGCATGCTGTAGGTCTATACAGTCACTGCTTATTCTCATCACTAGGTGGACCATCAATCATGATCAACATAGCTTGCAATTTAGGGAACGATCGCTAATGTTGCAGAGGGAGGTGGGGGTTTTCACAAAAATGTTATGTACCAAAACTGTACCCCCTCGCCCCAAGTTATTTCATATGAAAATAGTACCACCTACCCTTTGGTAATAATAATAATAATAATTTGTAAAACACAACCCCTCTTCCACCTCTCAGGGCCGTCAATAAGGGCCAGTAGCTGGCCCAAACCATCTACCATCATCTCCTTCTACCATAACTGCTAACAAAAAATAAGCTCCATCGAATAAAATTGTAAAGCATCCGTTTCCCGGTTTTGAATGACATTGAATGCATATTGGTTTAGATCTGTGAAACGTTCGAACTGTGCGATGTCGGCTCTCTTAAATAGACTTTACTTCCAATAAATTTGACACTTTCTCCGGTAATTTTTATCAGCATCATAACTTAGAACTTTAATCTATAAACTCGACTGATAGTCCACCGTGGGTTGTTGTTGTTGCTTCTCGCTTCTAAAATATTTACTATGATGGGAAAAATACTGCAATTATCCGCTGGCCACTATGCAAGGCGACTGCTTTGCAAGTTGTGAGAACATCGTTTCATGGTCCCAGACCTCATCTCTTCCCCCCTCCTCCTGTCCAAAAAATTAATAATAAGAGAAAACAACAAGAAGTCACACCTGTATTAGCAACCATCTCTATTTAGTGGCCACAGCCACCTTTTGGCTGTCCCAACGAGAGTTTTCCCACTATTGTCACCTCTATTAAGCAGCCATCAAGTGATTGATACACTTAGTCTGGCTTCATTTTAAGAATATTATGAAGGAAAATACAGTCCAAGATAGAAGGTGACGGCTTATTGTGGACCAGTCATGCCTCTCCTGTCGCGCGTTTGTTTTAAAATAAAGTGACGTTTCTGCTAAAGATTATGCCGATTTATGACGAACCTCCATTGAGCAGCCACTTGGCAGTACCCCGAGGGTGGCTGCTTAATAGAGGTTCAACTGCATTCCATTTTATTCTCCTTCCTTAGGTATTAACTTCATATGCAAATTGGGATACCAGTGGTCTGTTTAAGTACATTGTAGAGTCCTAGAGCAAGCCTAGTCACAAAGTATTCAATCTGGCAGATACCAAAATGTAGCAAAGATGCATGTGAGGTGGGTGCGTCTCTCAACTGGCGTGAGAGAAGGTTTGAAGTTCGGAGAAGTCTGGCAATGAAGGCTAAGTATTTTCGATCTGTGTGTACTTTAGCATTGTGGTAACGTCGAAATTTTGTTAAATTGCTGGAGTCTGTTCTGCAGAGGTCAAAAAAAGGTACACAGAAGAATTACAAGTACAGCTTGAAGTCTCAGGTTGGTGCCGACAAAGCATCCCAAGTGTAACTATTTGTCTACTATTGAAGGAAATGTTGATTTGCTTAACCTATAATATTATGGTTGATTAACAACTTTAACATAGAATGCCAATATCCTAGGTCTTGAAATTTCAATTCCCCAAAATTACGCCTCTTCAAAAATTGTACCCAACCTGTCTCCAAATCCCCCGACCCCTCTTGGATGTAATAAACCATCAATCCTTTATACAAGTAACAAACAATTTCCTTGCCGAATTTAAAAAATTTCGATCTGGTGAAGCAGGAATGATTTCATGTGCTGTGTAAAAGTAAACAAAGTGATAAGACTGTTCAAGAGCGTGGTTCCGCATGCATCTTATTGTCTTCTTATTTTTACAACAACTCAGCAGTGCACCAGTTCATCTACTAAACTAAGCGTCCTGTTAAATTTGAATCGATGGAAAATACCGACAGTTTGACAAGCTAACAAAAATTAGCATGCAACTTTTTAGCCCTACCAAAGCAAACACGATATAACCACTGAGAGAATTAACATCATTAAAGGTCCTACAGGTGTACTGATCTGTACTATTTTCTATCAGAAAAGATCCTAAAAAAATTCTAACTGTTGGCAGGGACTTAACGTCATTCACACGACATCCACGCGCCGAGGTGATGGAATTTTATTCGCTTCATTAGTTTTGTCGGTGAATTGATTAGTATATGGATCGAAAAAGGAAATACTAACATTGACAAGTTTGAAAATTGGAAATTAATTCTGGGTTCCATCAAGCTTTTACATAAATGATGTTCCAGTCCCCTAACGATGAAGTGATGAATAAAAAAATATAAGGCTAAAGTATGGCGTCCTGGCATGAGTCGAAGGGTTCCAGATTTTGACACAAATTGGACTAATTTTTTAAAATCTTTTGTGGTACACGCACATTATTACACATGAAGTGCGAGTCTTTGTGTAAATCCGTCACTGACCAACTCCTCATCAAAAAAGGTGATTTGAATACAAGTAAACTGATCTCTCGACCGAGCTTATTAGGCTTCATCGATGATGCACGCACGACATTATGCAAAGAAGGTCGAGGCTGTTGACAAGTCGGAGCGTCGACTCCATAATTATATAAGCTTAGAGGCAGAAATAAAGGGATATTTTTGTCCAAGAGACAAAACAAAATGAAAAGAAATAATGTGACCTCATTTGTTCAAACCCTCCAACGTTTAAGCTTAAAATAGAAAGCTCAGGTAGAAATACAAGCATATTTTTAGGCTTAACGATCGGTATCGACTTGTCCGACTCGATCGTCAACACGTCGGAATTGCAATACCCGTCTGGTGAACGTAGGTTTATGATGGAATCAAAGGAAAAGAACCTTGATATAGTTTTTTGGGACGGTTCTAAAGCAAATCAGTATGTAGATGTTTTCATACAGCTTTGCTTCATATGACGTAACGTTATAGAAAGTAAGCTCATTCCTATTTCTGTAAATAATATTAAAGTGTGTTAAACCTCACCTACTGAGCCGAGAACCCCTCATTGATACTTGAATAAAGCACTGATTCACCTAAATGCAATACTTACCCCCGACTTCCATGATTGTGTTATCCCAAAGCTAAAAGGAAACTTTTTTCGTGTACTTGTAAGCTTTCCAATATACGATACGACGTGACGTACCCAACCAACTGAAGCCCGAAAAACTACCGATATTTCATAGTTTTTCCGTTGCTGTCACGGCTTAATTTCGTTGTAATAGACGTAATAAAGAATTACTGCAAGCTAAAATCCGCTGTATACATGTCATAACGACATACGGAAACCGACACAACATTCGAAAAGCGCATAACAAAGAGAAAGATCACGTGTTGCACTTTCAGGAGGCGGGAGTTTGTTTGGAAAAGTACACAACTTCCTTTGTCTCCGAAAACAAAAAAAGCACTTTCATAAATGGCATGAAAGTAAATTCAGTTTACAAGAAATCGTCTGATGAGTTTACGAAAAATACCTTTTTTTTGTTTTTCAAATTCCACTTTCTTGTCACCGGAAATGGAGAGGTAAAATAGCCGGACTTGCGTAATTAGACTAATTGGGAGGAACAACATAGGTGTGTTGAATCTTCCGTCGTTGTTTATGTGTTTTGGTGGAGGGCTGATCAACGACGCTTTCCGGAATTTCCCTGACCTAGACCTTCGCGTAACTATTCTATAATGGTAACAGGACTATGGTGGCCCATGTGTGCCATAGGAAAAACCTGTAGAGCGAGAGTAAATCAATATTTTTTTTGCAATAATTTTTTATTTTATTGATTAGTTATCTTTATTTTTTGTATATTTCTTGTTTTTAATTTTTATTTCTTTTTTATTTCTTTTTATTATTTTCTCATTCACACAAAAAAGAAAATAAAATAAAAAAAGGAAATAAATGAGTATGGCCTATGAGTGCCATAGTAAAAAATAAAAATAATAAGAGAAATGAGTATGGCCTATGAGTGCCATAGCAAAAAAAAAAAAATTTTTAAAATAATAATTATAAAAAAAAAAAAAGGTTGCGGCCCAGATGTGCCATAGACCAGAATGCATTTCGATTCCCAGGTGCTAGACCCAATATGGCGGACGCTTGGATTAGAAACAGCGATTGGGAAGATGACAATGTGAATGATCTAAAAAAAAAAAGACCTAGCTGAGTTTGTCAGTCTGAATTTAAAGAGAATGGAAATATTAGACTTCTGGAGAAAAGATTACCCCATGTACGCTTGGAGCCTTAGAAGTCTGGCACGCCGAATGCATGTCGAGGTAAATGACGTGGAAGCAGCAGTAGAAAAAGAGATTTCAGGTCCAGGGAAACTGCTCGGCTACAGAGCCATGCATAAGAAAATACGAGAGATACACGGTCTGAGCGTGCCAAGGGATTTAGTTTACATGGTAATGGCTAAAGTGGATCCCCGTGGTCTGGAGGAGAGAGGAGGTGTTCGGAAAGCAAGGCGAACCCGCAGAGATAAAGCCTTCATGAGCAGGCCGGAGTAAAGTAATTCCTGTCCAGCTGCCTGTCAGAATTCAGGGACCGCGGAGGGGGAGGGGCTGGAAGGGCTATAGCCCTACCACTTTTTTGCTGGGATTTATTTTCCAGGGCTCTAGCTGACATGGAAAAAATTACCCGTGGAATTATTGGACTTTTCCCTAAAAGATGCACGGTTAGAGCCAGTTGTTTTCGACGAATTCTTAAGAACTATGCAGTTCTTATGGAAGAGTGGGATGTTTGCTTGTCCGAACGATTACAACCCGATGTGCGTGCAAGGATAATAGGATGTAAGACCTAAATGGAACGATTTGACTTTTTCTTTGGAGGGCGGCTTCATTCCCACACCAATAATCTATCTAAGGATCTTAAGGGTACTGAATGGAGGTTGGTGCTGGTGCAAGAAGCTACCCCCAAACTGCCAAAGATCACTTTAGAAGGGTCTATTATGAGGCTATTGATCTTGTCGTCAGTGCTATCTATCAGGAAAGCTTCAGCTCCTACGCCCAGATGGGGACCCTCTTGGTTAAAGCTGGTAATGGTGACCAATATGAGGCAGAGTTCAAGTTTCTTGAAGTATCATACAGAGAAGATGTTGATACAGGGGCGCTTCCTTGGCGTGCAACTGAGTATTTTCAGGGGCACCCAACGAGAATATAGTTCAAAACCACTTAAACATAGCATTGTTAAACGCATTAATTTTTAGTGTTTAAACTGTAATATAGGCATATTTTTATCCCCTAAAAATATTTCATCTGTTCGGATTTCCTAGCTGAAAGTATGGTGATTCGAAAATTACAGAGATCGAAACTTGCCTTTTCGAGAATTTCAGCCAGAAAAAAGGCTCCCGAAAATTCTTGGCGACCTTTTTAGGGTAAAAATCCGTTAAAAATCGGCCATTATACCATTCTTTAGATGTTCGAAAATCCTAGGAGAGGCAGGCAAGCAAGAAATTTACAACAAATTTTTTCTAGATCTCAAATCGTCTTCCGAACAGAATTTTTTTGAAAATTGACGCTGGGTGCCCCTGTATTTTGGAAGTTATGTTATAGGATTAGATGGCTGTCAGACTGTTTTGACGAAATCCTGTTGGCGGTGTCAAAGTTTCCAGAACCAGAAAAGAAGCTAATTCAGAAAGCCCAAACTATCTGTAAGCTGCCTGCAACCAGCGCTGCTGACGAACGTTCATTCCCATCTGCACGGCGTCTGAAGACGTGGCTTCCATCCAGGATGGGTGACCTAGCAGTGTTGAATGGTCACAAGCGGAGAACAGACAGTGTCTCTATAGCTACACAGGAGTTTGTTTCCCGCAATAAGAATCGCAAGAGAAGCTTCGGCGCTCAGGAGGTTTATTTAACATATTGCCTATATTGGATAGTATAACACGTATGGACGTTTATGTTGTATTTGTTGAGCTGGTAAATAAGATGGCGAGCAAATGCACGATAAATGGCGAAACACCGCCAGATTTTTTAGCCCTACCACCTTAAAATGGTCTCCGCGGTCCCTGACACGATCTGCTGTCTTTCAGTTTTGCCATGGATGACATGGATGAGAATTTCCTTCGTGTTTTAGACAGTACTTAGTTGTTTTTGTGTTGGAATAACATCGACATCGGCGAGTAGTGGAACGAAAATATAATTCAGAGGTAGAGTCATGGAAGTAATAAGAGAAACCCTTTGAAAGAGATGTTTGTCTACTTCAACCTGACTCCAATTAAACCTCCCGCAAAAAAAAGCCACATTTGCCTCTCGGAGACAGCGTACCAGCACAAAGTAACGAGGAAGAAGTGCAAGAAAACAAATTAAGCCGCCATAATTCAGTGAGAGAGGCAGTGTCTAATGGACAAACCACATCGCAGGCCCTGACCGAAGTCGAAAACAAGCGACGTTTCTATGCAGAGTCCCAGTCTACTGCATCACACCTTTTCGCTCGGACGCGCTCGTTTCACCTCCCAACCTTTATCCGCCCAACGCCCTGGTTCGACAGCTACAGTGTCAGGAACTGTCAGGAACAGGTTATTGATCATATCCCATATTACCTTTCGGGATTGTCGCGTGCACATTTTTTCCGACAACCTTTCTCGAAATAGCTGTAAACAGGCTGTAAACAAGTCCACACACGTCACTGTTAACACCTCAGACATTTTATGCTTTGTAGTTAATTTTTTTTATGGCAAAACAGTAAGACACGCTAGAAAATCTAAAACCAAAGAAACTGCTTTTATTTAGTAATATAGCATAGTTTGCACTTAGTTGCAGGAAAGTGGCAGTTAATTACCGTTCCGGTGCATTAATTTTCATTGATCAAAACAAACAAATCTGACTGTTCACGGCAGAAGTTTGTGCTTGGTCCAAGTCTCGTGCTTTCCGGCTGTCTCGGTATAAATACGGAAACTTATTATACCGAGGGAGAGAAATATTCTTTAACTTTTTTTGGCATATATGGATTAACTTGTATCGAGCTCGCACGGAAGCGGCAGGTTTGTAAAGCTCGTAGAGTTGTTTAACGTTTAATGCTAAAATTTGACATGATTTTGATCGATCAAACAACATCTCATTGTTAAATTAAATCAAAGTTATAGCTCTTTGAAAAATGAGCGATTGCTTACTATCGAATTTTGATCTGCAAAACTCCATTGTGATAGATCCAACATATAGTTATATGGCTTATATTAGAAATTTCAAAATCATCTATGCTTGAAATTTTTCTCTGTGCTGTGTTCAGCTACGGTAGATTCAAACTTGCAATTATCAGAATTATAAGGATCGACAAATCGATTATAATATTCTGTATTTAAATTGGGTTTCGGGATTATCCTCAACGAGGTACAGAGGGGTATAGATTTGGGTTTTACTGTGGTTACTTCTTTGATTGTTCGTTGTTGAATCAATAACAAGGCAATGAAATAGAGCGGTTTTCATTTGACTGTCGAAGGGGATTGGTTTTGGTTTTGGTTTTGGTTTTACTACGCCCTTTGGTTGGCTAGTGTATTTACTTTGGTTTTGGTTTTACGACAGTCAAGTGAAAACCGCTCTACTGACATATCCTTTATTTATTTACTCAGTTTTTTTCAGAGAAGATGATCTTGAGGCCAAATCAAACGATAAGTGCAACAACACTTTTCGAAGTTTTCTGATGATGAATTAACTAAAAGAAGATGCCGGTAGTTTGTCTTTTCAAGTACCTGTATCAGAGTGACAATAAAATGAATAAAGATCTTACTTATGGGAAGATCTGGGTTTTTTCTCTTTGTAGCAATTTACAATAATCACTTCAGCAACCAAAACAAATTTTAAAATCCTGGCATAATTATTCCAACCAATATGTTCTCTTCCTCTTCATATAGGGTGTTATTTCAAAGTTTTTCGCTCAAAATATTAGTTTACTACCTAAGAGTGTGACTGAAGCTCATGCTAATTTAAAGAAAAAGAAAACTAGCTGTAACACTACTTTGAAGCGATTGTTATGCAGTCATAATCAAGTAAACCCCTTTGGAACGTTCGAGTCTTTCCAGTCTGATGCTAGCCGGTAGGATTTTTTTTCCATTTATTCATCATGAAAGTTCATATGGGCTGTAGGGTGCATAGTGCACCTTTCCTCCCGGCGATCTATCATTGTATGAACTATTGAAAAGAAGGCCGCGGGTTCACGCACTTGTTCGTCTTGTTATTTATTAAACTTCATGAGGTGTCCGAGGGCGTTTTAGACTGTTCAGAGTCCCCTATTTTTTCGTGACATCGTTGAGATATAGCGCGTCTTATGTTAATGGCGGCCATCTTGAGTTTCAAATGTACCACGGGGGCGAGCAGCCCGTAACGCAAAGCGCTCGATCAGAAAAACTGAGAGGACTGTGAACAGTCTAAGGAGTTTTAGGCCGATGGGATCCAATGCTCCCCGATTTTGTTTGAGGGGAGGAGTCGGCGGCTGTGCACAGGCTAATTCGCTGCTACTTACTACTTAAAATATATTTTTCTTGTAGCCATATCTGGTGGAAAAATTAAGAAATGGTAAACGCGCAGCGTGCAACCATGGAGTTATGGATGCACGCGGGAGGTTGCTAAGCACGAAAGAAGCGTAAGAGTCCCGAGTGCGACTCTAGCTTCTTATATATCTTGAGTGCTTAGCAAACCTCCCAAGTGCATCCATAACTCCATGGTTGCACGCTGCGCGTTTACCATTTCTTTTATAACATAATCAAAAGAGAAAAACATTATTTTCCATTTGCCTTCGGTTGAGTCATCGGTCCGAGTTCATGTATGCTGCCATCTGCCCGCGCGTAAACAAATCATGTTCTATGTTTTTCAAAAACTTGCCTTTAAGTTTTTCTTTCGCTGAATCAAGCGTTCTCCGTCTTCAGGTAAATTGCAAAACGTTTTTCGTTGTTATTCTGAATGACATCTGTCTACTTGCTCTTAATATTAGGGTAAAAACTTTGAGGGAAAACTATATCTGCAACTATAAACACCAACTAAAAAGACTCTAAAAAATAAGCTAAAACTAAATAAATGAAATGATTATCAAGCTTCTTTATGTGACAGTTTTTGAAATAAACGTAAAGTAGAAATGAGAAAATTTCACTTTAATTTCTTTAGAATAACAGGTAACACTAATTTTAAAAAGAAATTAACAAGCTTTGTATCGAAAACTGTCTGGGGAAATTCGGGGGGAAATCCAGCTATGAAAGTCAGACTCAGACCTCAAAGGGGCGTGGCATTATAACCACGTGACATTTACTCCGATCGCCAAAAATTTTATGTTATATTGTAGATTGATCTATATGTTATCCATTCTATGTGTTATACTTACGATAAAAGTAAAGGTGGGGATACCAGAGAGCTTCAAAGTAGGATGGTACACCCCCAAAAAAAGCTGGGTTGAGTCACCTTAATCGATGCGATGAAAACTTCACAATTAAGCTGTCTCGAATTTGAGCGTGTTTCCTAAAATATTTGCTTGAATTTAGCATCAGCTGGACCAAAAAGTCAATAACACAGTGCTAATTGATAAATTTACATTTCAAACAGACTTTCTCTTCTATAAAAAACACACAACATGTACCTTAACTCTTCGCTCGCTCGATTTTCCTTCAGCCAATTCTAGCCGCGGGGAAAACAGTGATTAATTCATCCAGGGCAGATTTGTCGCCTGATCTTTTGTCTTTTTTCCTTCAAAACGACAGTTTAGTATTTTCTTCAACTTCCACTTTTCATCTGTGTATTTCATCGGTGTATTTTACCGTCAGGAGAGGAGATTTGATGAATTTGCCTAAATTTTACCGCGCTAGCTCAGTTTCTTGGCGTGCGCCCACGGGCAAATGGTAGTGGCTAACTGACCAATCAGAGCGCGCGATTTACTTTTGTTATGTTATTAAACACCAATAAAATAAGGAATGAGCGGGAGCAACGTTTTCGTTTCCCGTTTCGTTTATCGTAAAAAGTAAAAAGACAACAACGTTGACAGAGAATACTTCATGGAAAGTGCTGGCGTACGGTATTTAAGCACGAGTAGGTGACGTATCAGAAATCAAACGAGTGAGCACAAGTGCGTAAATACCATACAAAGCACTTTCCATGTGGTATTGTGTTTATTATATACATACTGAGACATTCATCATTTTGGGGTCCTTTTTGTTTTAAATCTTTCAAAAATGCTAAAATTTGCCGCTACACACTTACCGCAAAATGACAACGAAAACGAAGTATCAGCTTTTTAGTAAAAAAGTTTGTTAAAAACATAAATGACGGAGAGGATATGAGGTAATCCAAGAACTATAAGTAATCTTAACTGTTTGTTCTCAATGCACAATTTAAAATGAGTGAATTTAAGTAAAATGGACGGTTTCAATATAAGCTTAAACTTAAATGAAAGGCAAAGCAGCTCCGACAAAAAGCACAACAAAAGCTTACGTCACGTTCTGTTTATCTCTTTCCGCTGTTGTTTCACCGGCTCTCTACCGTTTTCTTTATCGACAGTGAAACAAACGAAACTATTCCACTCCATTTCCGAAATGTCGCTCGTTCGCTCCTCTGATTGGCTAGAGCTAATCTACGACATAGCTTTTGGTGTGTATATAATAAGTTGTGGGCGCTTTCCATTTAGGAAAAAAAACCCGGAAATTTCGGTGGGAGCAAAAGTGGAATTTCCGATTGGTAAAAAGTTGTTCCATTTCGTCTTAAATCCCGGTACGTGGCGGTGCCCGACCGTGGACCTGGAACTGGTACAAACTACGAGAAACGTAAATGGAACACGACATTCCGTTTGGAAATTCCAACCGGGAAAACGTGCCCACCTTTTTAGATTTTCTACTTTTTCTGGGAATTTTCCAGTAGGACGAGCTCACGAAACGCATTCCATTTACCGCCGAACCAGAAATTCCGGAAATTTTGACTAAATGGAAAGCGCCCTGTGTTCCTTACATGACCTTATCTTTGCTGGTTTATTTTACCGCTGACTAATTCACAGAGTTCCCTTTTTTGCTCTTTTTTGCATCGCTTTGCCATTGGGAGGTTGAAATAACATGCGCCTCGAAAAGTGTTATTTCTGTTCGTCTACAATATATCCAGGACACGGGACAGTATTTGTTAGGAATGATTGTAAAGTAAGTCGTCTATTGACATTTTATTTTAAGATGTGTGGCCAGCCTGACCCAAACTACTACTCCGCGTTGTCAAATCGTGCCGATCGAACTCAATAACCAAAAAAAATTGTCCAGTCCAACATATAATCGACCGTTCGAATTCCGAATTTTCGGTTTCCACATCATTGCCAACTTTCTTCATCGAGGCATTCGAGGAAAAAGTCAGTGTTTTGTGTTGATTTTGTGTCGTCGGGCGAAACGACCGCAATTCAGTGTAATCGTGCAGTACTTGTTGTGGTACGGGTAAGATCTCCGCACGTGTGTGGAGCTAGCAAGCAAATCCTGAAGAGGAAAACGTTCGGTTGACTTCGTCTAAAAACACCCACTATCCAACGAATAGAAATAATGCTTGAAGCAACTGCAGAATACAGCACAAAATCTTGAAGAGGCTCGGTTGCTCGCTAGCCAAGACAAGTGTTTATAGAACGAGAAAGATAAGGGCCCCAGTTGTTCAAAAGGTGCATAACGCTATCCTCTGGATAAATCTCTATAGTGCTATCCAACATTTGAACAACTGGTCGTAAGTGTAAGTCAACAGACATAAGAAAGACGTAAAGTATAAGTTTTAAAGAACAAGTAAAGGTATAATAATTATTTTAGTGGCTCAGTGGCTTGTCAGTCAAGGTTTAATAGAGTGTGAAAGAAAGGGAAAGGTATGTATTTTAGTGGCTTGGAGGCTCAGAGGCTTCTTGTCAGTCAAGGTTAGTGTCTTACAGAATGAGACAGGTATACGTATGCATGGCTCGGTGGCTTGGTCTGGGGGCTTGGTGGCTCATCAGCAAATGGCAAGCCTCCGAGCCACTCAAACTAATATATACCTGGAAAACGGGCCAGGTATTCTGTAGTTATGCCTGACAGACTTTATTCATACAACCACTGATATTAACCATAGTTTTGATAATGACGTAACAGAGATTAGCCCTCTCAAGGATTCGTACAGCTCCCTAATAAATAAAGGAAGAAACAATTTAAACTTGTTGATGCTGTTGATCTTTATATGAAGCTTGTTTACGATACACTGTAGATCTTCAGATTTTGCCGTTCAAAGTGCCACAAGAACTTCAAGATGAAGCGAAACCCCCGCAAAATAAAGTGGACAAAAGCCTTCAGGAAAGCGGCTGGCAAAGAACTTGCTATAGTAAGTAAAAGCGAAATGTTTGCTTTGCTGCCATACATTACACATGTATAACTAACACTAGTAATAACATCGCGATGTAATTGACCAATCTGATCAATAACCAGAGTATAATACCATCAACTGACATGATACAACTCACTTTGACTCTGAAGATGCCTACCACGCAGGTAGTCGAAACGTCAGTCACTGTCAACAACAACAGTCCTATTCAGGACCACGTTCACCCAGATGATCAAACTCAGCCTACTTGTGAAATGACTCCTGGGCTCAAACCTTTTAGAGTAATAATAACGTTGCAAATTAGGGGGGTGCATTCGATGGGGAGGGGGGGTTGGGTGGTGGGTAGTGAGTGGTAGTGGGAAGTGGGTGCAAAACCTGATGGGCGTGTAATATTGAGAAATCAAAATAAAACACTTTTATCAATACAAATATCAGCAGCTGTGTTTATCAGTGTTATTGTTTATCCTCCCACTTTACAATCCAATACTTTTTCATTTTTCCTCAAAAATGTTGATATGGTGTGAAGAGCACATTGTTAACATAATATCTACATATTCAATTACCTTAGAGTGGAAATTTTCCTACATAAAAAAACTTAATTGAAAACTGCGAGAAAAACTATAAACAAACCCGTAGTAAACAGAAAATCACCAACGTTTCATCTTTGAACGAGTGTCACAAAATAGATATCAGCTCGCGGGTAAGAAAAACTGAACACATGAGATCGAGGCAAAATGTGCCAGGCTGGTGCAAGATGGCATCCAAACCGCGAAATCGCATGGCATACAGAACGGTTACTACTTCATGTACGGTACACAAATAGCAAGGGTTCTCCTTCGTTGAATGCAATAATTGGTAACATACTTATGTAGTTGGTATGTAGAACTGCTGATGCATGATGTCTAATCCACATCTGTATCGTCTACAACATCAAGGGCTAACTGCAGAAACCAGTTAATTTTGTTAGAAGTCAAACAAATGCCACAGTGAGCAGTTTTATCTCAATTACTAAGTACAGCTGTACACCAGAGGAGTAACCAGCTTTTTGACTTGTTGTAGGCCTGACTGGCTTACATTTCCACATATCCTTGTTTATAATTATTTGTTTATAATTCTGCTGATTGCACGCATAACTAGTACGCACTAGTCACTAACCTCACCAACACTTTGAGCTCTTAGTGTTTATGCTCACCCCAACAACACATAATTTATTACAAGTGCTAGAGTGATCAAACCAAAAATTACTGGTCTATGGGCTGGCTACGTCCCTGTACACACACGGTATGAAGGAAGGTGTTGATTGACCATTTCTAATTCTGCTCAAGCCTTAAAGACAGCCATTCTTAAAGTTTACTTCTTGGGAGATCTTAACTTTAAGCTGTAGACTTTCCTAAGAATTTTCAAGTTTTGATTTGCTATTGTATGGATATAACCTTTCTTGTTGTCACTGAATTATTGTCAATGTGATTTCAAATTATTCACATTTAATAGGCATTATAGTAAATTTTAGAATGATTGCAGAAGTCTCCTTTTCAAGGTTTCAGTACCTTTACAAGCATTCCATTGTTTTTTTGAACTTACATACTAGATACACAGACAGTACAATGTATGTGTATGTGTGTGTATATAGCAGGGAACAAGATTTACTAAACTGTAGTACTGGTGTCCACTATGTAATAGCCACTACACTGCAAATAATGCCACAGTGTACAGTGTAAATTCTCATGGATGCCGTACAGCACATTATGATTGAAAGTGACCTACATGTACAACACATTTAGGGTCAGTTATTTAAACAAAGTCTAACTTAGAACATGAATTAAAAAACCATTGGACCTTCAGATCTCTTTGTTAGTGGGTCAATTTAAGAAATAAGGGCTTTTTCAGGCTACGCTACTTTATAGAAATTGTTCATGATAAGTGGTGTTTAGATAAAAGTGTTGGGCAAACTGAAATGGCTTAGAACACAGTTTTGTTAAACCCAGCTAAACTCCGTTTCAATAACTGTCCCTTAGAGCTGTAATTTTATTTCCTCTTCTTTTCACAGGACAATGCATTTGAATTTGAAAAGAAAAGACATGTTCCTGTTAAATATAACCGAGAGCTGTGGTCTAACACTGGTGAGTAACACATGATATAAAGATACAGATATCTTTACAGGCCATCTGATAGAGTGCGATTAAAAAATTAATCAGAAGTTGTGCGATATTTTCGGGGTAGATTGTGCGATGAGATGGGACAATTATGCGACAAATTATGCGATTTTTTCAGGGCTGATTTACATTGTTTTACCAGGTTTCAAAGGAGAAAAACCACTCTAATGTTTGATTGTAAAGGAGTGATAAAACATCTAATTATCAAATTTAAAACAAAATGGTTAAATTTGTGTGATAATTTTTACCCGGAAAAGAAAAAGGACACTTGTTTAATATTACATGATGCCGTTACACTGCTGACCACACTGCTTGTCTCTGAAATCAAAATGGCTGCCCAGATACCTCGATCGAAGGTTTCAGATGTCTTGTAAGGCTTTCTTTTGTGGTAAATCACCTAAATAACATTAACATTGGGAAAATGTTTAATTAAAGTTACAATTCATCGTTTATTTTACTTGAATTTAGCATTTTTTTACGAATTATGCGATTTTCCTCAAATTGTGTGATTGGATGCAATTTGAGGTCAATTGTGCGAAATGGCATCATCGCGTAATATCAGATGGCCTGTCTTTACAGCTTTTATAGGACCTCACGAGCAACCCTTTAAGTTAAATTTTTCCTTTGGTGGCCATTTGGCGACCAACTCTTTAGGTTTAGTTGCCAAAGGTTTTTTTTTAGGCCCCAAAATATATGTAAATAATTAAAGTTTTAATAATTGGTTAAGAATTAATTTGGGCTTAAGAATGGTATTGTTCAGCCAAAGCAATGTTTCTAAACGGCATTTACCATTTTCACAAGTGTTTACGGTAACTTATAAACCATGTCGTTTCTTCAAGTACAGTAAAATTCCGAAAATAAGCCCCGGGGCTTATATTTTTCAAAGGCCCTTTTTGAGGGGCTTATTTTTGGAGGGACTTATATTCAGAGGGGCTCATCTACGGAAGGGAATTTGCGTTTCAAAATCAATATTAGGCTAGCTAATAGATGGAAGGAAATTTACCGTTTTTGCTTTGTTTTACTTTGTATTTGAGGGCAATTTCCAAGTACAAGTCCCCCAGGGGGCTTACATTTGGAGGGGCGATGTAACGGAGGGTTTTTGCGTTATGAGTTTGGGGGGCTTATATTTAGAGGGGCTTAGACAAGGAGGGGCTTATTTTCTGAATTTTACGGTATCAAAACCAACATTTTAGTCGCCATGGCACCCAAAGTGGTCACAGCTTGGAGGGTTGATGAGTAAAGTGTAAATGACAGTAATCAGATATTCAATATTACCAAAATATTTATGAAATGTTTCTATAATATCCTAAGTATTTTTTGAAATCACCCATGATAAGTCCAGAAAATAGGAATAAGGCAAATACCATTGAAGCTCAACTAATGGTTCCCTTTTCACAATGTGCAATCTGTCTCTGTGTTTTTATTAATTTTTCTCTCAATGTTTCTCTTCTCCTGGTGAGCAGTCCATACATTTACATCAAAGTGTTCCCAGCAACTAAAATAACCCCTGTACTACACAGGGGCACCCAACGACAGTTTCCTCCTAAATGCTTTGAAAACACTTCTTAGGTAATCCAGAGTACTTTTAGATCTCTAGAAATGCATTCTAAGTGTCGCTAAAAAACTTGTCTCTTTTCGGTCATCCTAGGGCAACTTGAGTCTTTTCAAAATAACAAGGGCTTCAGTATTATTTTCCCGAAAATTATACAACGTAGCTGCAATTTAAAGTTTTATGAAAGTGAAACGTGTAGTTTTTCTGATTCCTCTCTGCATCACATTTTCGATCCCGAAAATTTTAGTTTCCTTTCTCTACGAAAAATAGCCTAACCTGGGGAGTGAAATGGGAAAAATGAAACTTCAGAAAATCGTAGGGAATTTATTAGATAAGCTTCGAAAATTGTACATGAATGGAATGGTCATCTAGATATTTTTAGCCTTCCTCAAGCTATTAAAATTCTAGGCAATTTTTGCCTCTCGGAACAGATATTTTGTCAGGCCAGGTGTAGTGTATAGGTTACAGCGGTCATTGAGAGATACTACATGTAAGGTTCCTGATAACTAGGGCCTGTAATAATTGTCAGTTCTAAGCATCAGCTCTTTAAAAAATGAATGTTTTTTTTTCAAAAGAAGATTCATACAGTCTGCATTCCTACCTCATCACTTTTTCTTTCTCTCCCCAACATGGTTTTTGTGGAGAGACTGGACTGTACAGTGTAGTTGCTTCTCTGGAGTATTACAAGGAATAACAAGGAATACTTCCAGATATAACATGCATGTATTCATGCTCTCTGATTGAGTGACACTATGTGTAGTCCTGTAACATGTCAGTAATTTACTAACTTTTCTTAATTAATAATTTGCATTCATTGATACAAAATAATGTAAGTTAAGTTGCTCCACGGAAGCAAAATTCACATGGATCATACAATGTAGGTATGAGATCTTTTAGTTTTCTTGTAAGTTGATATATGGTTTGAAAATCTGTTAGAGACCTACATAAAATAACTTAAAGATTATACATATAAGCATGTATCTTATGTGATCCTGATTTGACTCGTGCAATAATCTCATTGTATTTGACTTCAAACAGTGAAAGCCATGAAGAGAATAGAAGAAATCCGAAGCAAGAGGCAGGATCTTCACATCAAAAACAGGTCTGGTTCAATCATATTTCTCTTTTAAGTGACCTTTCTTAGTTAAAACTGCATTAAATGCACTAATTTGCTGTCATTGTTTTTAGATTAAGGCCTGACAAGCAACTAAGAAAGGAAGCTGAGTCAAAGGAAGTCAAGCAAGGAATAGCACTCATAGCTCCTTCAGGTGTGTCCAGTTTATTATTATTTACTCGAATAAAGGATATTTTAAACTATCCAAAGTAAGTTACTTCACTTCAAATCAGACTTATCTCTGCCTATTTCAGGACTTAAAACCCTGATACCAGCTCGCATATTCTTCTTATCCCCTGAACTACAGTTTTTATTTGCCAAACATTTCCTGTGATACTGACTTACATGTACTTTTAAAGTTTTAATGCTATGCCTGTATAGCTAGTGCGCCCTGTTGAAATTAAATCGGTTGATTAACCATTGTCTTTATTAACATTAGCAACTGAAAGTTTCAGTAGAACCTCAATAACTCGGATGACTCGAACTCCCCGCTAACTTGAAGTTAGTTCCCCTTTATCAAAATTTCACCGAAATTTACCCCGATAACTCGAATTCTGGTTCTTGTAACCCCATTCGGATGCTATCTTATTAGTTCTCCTTGTTGTATAATCGGTAAAAACGCTAAAAATAACCCTACAGCGGTTTGATTTTAATTGGTACAACGAACAGGTAGCCCTAGCTCGAAATAAATGAGCATCGGCGAACATCGACATTGCTGCATAACATTCCAAATATAAGGATTTGTATGGAAAAAAACTATCGTTTCTGTAACCTACGAAAATGAAAGGATTTCAATGAAAAACAGCTTACCTTACGTAAAATGTGTGTTACGACTCTCCTGTGTGGTCCATGGGCCGATTTATGGCTGTTTAATGGGTTGTACTAGAAACTCATAAACGGTTTTCTCTCTATATAAAGGTTTCATTGAAATCCTTTCATTTTCATGGGTTCAGTGGAAACGATATACCTGTGGTTTATCATAAAAACGTACAATCATGTGAACGTTTCGAATAAAACAAGTAAATTTGCATTGTACCATACACCAAAGTGCTGAAAAACCCGGGCGGGAATCCGCATATCAAAGGGGTGGGGATGCTCGTCGGAAATTTTGAATTAACCCCTAAAGGAGACCGATCTGGGTGTGGCCCAAGCTTTTTTTGACCCCTGTTTTTTTATATTTTCTCGCGAGCAACCCTAAACGAGACCTTTACCGCTAAATATGATGGCGTTTTGCCCAGAACACCCTAAGTGAGACCAAAATCCGAAATTTACACCCCTAAGCCAGACGACGAGCATCCCCACCCCTTTCATATGCGGAGTCCCCCCCACCCCCCGGGCTGAAAAATCAGTAGCTATTTAAAATTAGTAACATGGCAAGTTGAATATTCAGTCTATCCCGATAACTGTAGACTGTTCACAGTCCTCTATTTTTCCGTAAGATCGTCGAGATCGAGAGCTTTGCGTTACGGGTTGCCAACTTGCATGAGTGTCAAAACTACTTAGGGGGCGGGGGCGGTTTGGGAAGAAGCCCCCTCGGTACGTTTGAAAATCAAAGTAGCCGCCATGAACGGTAAGACGCACTATATCTCGACGATCTCACGAAAGAATAGGAGACTGTGAACAGTCTACGATGATTCGGACCCTCGTTAACTCGAACTGTTGTTCGTTTCCCTTCAGAGTCCGAGTTACCGAGTTTCTACCGTACTTGTACACATGCTATAAAATTCTTCAGCTTATAATAGTTATTGCCAGTAATTCTTCGCATTTCTAAAACTACTCTGTAAGCTTTCCGCTTGCTTTGGCGCTTCTCAGAAATAGCCTGGCGTGTAAGGATTAGGATACATGTACAAGCAAATCCAAGTATCACAGTGTTTAATAACAAAGTTGATGGACAAAGAAATACAAATCCATGATCACCTATGCAGCTAGACTTTTTCAAAGTCCTTCGCTTCTCATTTCCGGTTCCGGTAGTTGGCCCCCGCGCGAAGGACTTTTATCCCCTGCAGCGCGTCGAATTTACACGAGGAATTTTACTCCTGTAGGTTTTATCCAATCACGAACGGTTTTACTGATGGGCGGTCAATCAAACCAGATCACGCCACATGAAACGTGAAATTCAACTGAACCGTGTATTCAAATATAAAGCTTTAGTGGGCGTTTTATTTTCCTCCATTTAAAGTACTTTATCAAGGTCGGATTTTCCTGGCAGTCACAGAGCGAAAAAACATTACCGACTTGTTTTGTTTTGAGCGCGCGCACTACAAAGTTTTTATTTTTCTTATGTTTTCTTTCATGGCGTATGCTAGCCTTGCAACGAGCCCGAAACGTCTGAGACTGAACTCATAAATATCACAAGTCGGCTTTATTTACTTTCTCTTATTGGAATTTCGTCCGTTATTTGTTTGTTTTGACATACTTTGGCAGCTCGAGACGACACATGCGACAGGGACGCAAATAGTTCGCCCAAAATGACGTCACTTGATGCGATTTTTTCCAGGGAAAACAAGTCGAGCTCTCGCTCTCCCTCTCGCTTTTGCCGTAGAAAACGTAAAATCTACCGCTCGCGCTTCGCGCTCGTGAAAAATTCTGAGTTCGACTTAGGCAAGTCTACTATGCACCGTGTTTCGTGCAATATATGCTGCTGTAAGAGCAGGACCTTTGATTAGGCTGTATCCTTATCTACTGTGACAGTGTCTTTGATCTAACCTTCTTGAGTCTTCATTCACAGTTGAGAAGAAAAGACTTGGACAGAAGATCTCACAAGTCATGCGTGAAGCAGAAAGCATGGAGACTGAAGACTGATTGTTTCACTTTTTCCAGGCTGTGCCATTTTGAAATGAAATAAATGAACCTGGACAGAGTAAACTGTGTTAATGGCTTTGTTACGTTAAACAAATTCTGCCTGTCAGTATAGAAAGAGGTTAATTTTTAAAGAATTTTTCATTGGTTCTGTGTAGTTTAGGACAAAAGCAAAAAGTTAAGTTGCATCAACTGAGTTTATTGTTAATTGTTAATAATAAATTAAATTAGTAGTACCCTGGATAACGAATTCACGATTGGCTCTCTGCTGCTTAAGAAATAATGTATTAGCGAAGCGCATGCAATATTAATTTGTGATTATCGTACTGTACGACCACTGCAGAAGAATTGGTAAGCTTTACGAAAGGATATGAAGGGAAATTGTCTTTTGATGCAAAAATTGCAACGAGAAAGTAAATCAGTTTCACAAGTATTAAAACAAAAGTACATTTCCTCGTTGTGTCTAACGGTAAATTTTGCGCAGTCATTTTGTCCTTCTTCGGGGTGTGTTTGTTAGATAAACTATATTCTGCGATTTTAGTTTCTTTCAAGAAAGCGTGTATTGCTTCGTATCCAGGCAAGAGATTTGTTGACATTTTTTTTATCTTCTTATGTTCTATTGGCCCCACCCACCATGGGACATTTTGCTGCTTTGCAAAAATAAATGTTAATTCACAAAGAGGGGGGATTGGAACGTTTTAATTTGACTGAGCTATCACCTGACTTAAATTTTGTTACGTTAGAAGCTTGTTGAGCTTGCTCCTATTCTTCGAGTCATCATTATTATCATTATTTTCCTTTTTTTGGGTTTCTCTCTGGCATGGCTTTTCAACTACGCGACTGACAAACCACGCGAACAACTTCCTAAATACAAAAGGCCATGCCAGAAAGAAACCTCAGCTCGCCGGGTATTTTCTGCTGCGTTTTATAGGGAGTTTATGTCACGAACAAGACAATCGCCTTACGAGTGATCATTCCAGCCACCTGTTCGACGCGCAACTGGTTGTATCTGTCTTTCTCTGCTGCCGTGGCATTCGGGATATCCCATCGGTGCCGACGGTCGACCTCCATGCGCTTCCAAGCTTTGAGCTCCTGCGTCACAGCGCGAATTTCATGAGAGAGAGGGGGGGGATTTTCCAGGATTAAATTACAGCACACTGCTGAAATAGAGTGTAATGTACACCACGTCTTGATTTGCCGTGTATTTGCCGGCACTGAGTGTATTTGGCAGTACGGTCCTCTTGAGGGCACATTGTATTAGACTTCTGCGTTTGTATATAGGTACACGAAAGCTGTCAATGTTCAACGGAAAACTGAGCTTCTATTTCATTAGTGGATGGTTTTCAATGAAACCCTATTCCTACTTTTTACAGAATGCTCTCGGTTCAGACCTGTCCCTTGCGTATTCAGTCTGTGACTGATTACAAGTGGATCTCTTGGCTTACGTATTCTGTGCTTTAATTCTTATCATAAAATGGAAGAAAATTGGAAATAAATGGCATCTTAAACTTCTACTTACTTTCTTTTCTATATTTATAACATGCATTGACGGACAATAATATTATAGTGACCGACAGTAGAGCCACCTGCCAGGAGGCCGCGCCCAGCTGAGTCTCGAGTGCTTGGCGTCCATTATACAAAAAAAATTAACCAATTACAGTCTACTTTCAAGGCGTGGCAAACAATCACAAGGCAAAGTGTATTTTTCAACCTTGTTTCAAAGCGAGGAATATGTTTTCTTAATTGTAGTTTGCAATGTGTGCCTTCATCGCTGTATTTCGATTGGCACTAATGAAGCAAAACGCATATTTATAGTGACCTGACCTCAGCCGGCTATCCTGGGCCATCGCACGCAAGGTAGCAAACTAACTTCAGTTCAGCTCGAGCTCGAAGAATGGGGAAGAACGTGGACCTCAAAATTTCCTTTTCTCGTCAGAGTAAACATTATCACCCCGGAGAAGTCGTGTCTGGTGAATGCGTTTTGCTACTTAATGACCATCTGAAGCTTCGCTGCGTCAGTATTGAGTTTCAAGGTGAATCTTGGACATACTGGGAAGAAACGAACCTTTACACTTCAATTCACAAAAATGCAGAGATATATTTTCACAAGAAAACCACACTGTTTGGAGACTGTAAGTATAGATACACAGCCCCATTATGAAAAGTACTTTTTGTTTCACCGCAATTCAAGGTGGTTTGACGCCGGTTTGTAACCCGTTACAGACACCTGTTGCTAACGCTTTTCATGTCCAAATCAGTGAATTGTTACAGTACCAAGGAAACTCTGCTTTTGGTGCTGCTTCCTTCAAAAGTGGGAAGTTACAAGCAGGAAATCCATCAGGAGAAAAAATGAACTAAGGGACTGTGCAATAATTATCAGGAAGGGGGGCTGAAAAACTAGAGGGGGGCATTATATAAAATTGCTGACAAGATATGGGGGGCTCAAAGTAAAATCACTCATTTGACGGAGGGGGGCCTTACGTTTTATTCGAAATGTAACTAAAATTAAACGCAATAAAAGATTCTCAATACAGGCATCATGATAGACTGTAACAAATATCAATACGAACAGCTATTAAACGATTATTGAAAATATTCCATCAAAATGAAAAGCAAATTCACAACCGATCAATTTTAACCCGTCTTCTAATTAATTGAGCTGATCCTATGTAAAGCAAAAATCATGAGCTTGTTTTTCAGCTTCCCCATAAAACAATGGGAATCAAACAGATCTCGTAGACAAGCTTTGTCGGTTTTTGATGTGAATAAAAGTAATGTTTCTTCATCGACTGAATCGATTTGCTGAATTCCATATATATATGGCTCATAACAAAGTTCAACAGGCTCTCCTCTCGAGGATCTAAGTATGATGCAAGCTCTTTTTCGTCTGTTATTTGAAGCGTTCAATCTCCTGTTCTTTGATTTTTTTCTCTGCTCCTTTCTCTTTCTGGCTTCAGAAGTTTTAGATTTTGAGCCAATGTGGTAAGCACCCCGGTACTTAGCAAATGCTTTGTATAAATCTTCAATCAAGCGATCAACATCCTTCTCGATACTAGATGTTACGTAATAACGTTTGTCATTATTGAAGCATGACATTATAAAAGGTATTTACTTAAAGGCATCTATGGTAATGGTGGCGGTGAGGTGTGTGTGTGTGTGTGTGTGTGGGTGGGTCGGTGGTGGGAGGGGGGTGCGACGTTATTTCTAACATAACAGAGGGGGGTTAGAACTATTTTTTTGTTGTTTTGGAGGGAAGGTACTGTCTAAGTTTTTGCTAGATAACTCTAGTTTTTCAGCCCCCCACCTCCTGATAATTATTGCACAGTCCCTAAGTATTATATCGGCTATTGAATATTGGCAAAACATACTAGCCATATGCTACTAAAAGTAATGATCATTACCCAGACTTAACAACGGTGAAGTCAATCTGGCTGAGTTTTCTTGATTGAGATGATTGACAAAATGCGGAACTCCGAGTCTTTGCATTAATGCAAAATTCACACTAATGTGAATGAATTATATCATCACAACTACAGAACCGCACGCTCGACTTTTGCTAGAAACGAAAAACGATTAAAGATAAGCTCTCTTCAGACGCTGTTTACTTGAAATAGCAAGTAACCCTCAGCTGGAATGAGCCAGTTGGATTCAACAGAGATAAATTTCTTAAAATATTGTTATTTTCGTCTTTATCATGAATAAAATAAATATTGTGCCCTAAGGACTTGCCTTCTTCCAATACTGATATATGCACTGCCATTAAACAAAAGGTGCGGCTTCACTCAGCTCTCACTTCAGGTGCCTCGTGCGGGGGCCACACCTTTATGTAGTTCAAATAAAAAGCAACGTTTCTTTCACTTCTACCGTTTAACTTTCGTTAATTTTAAGTCTTTGACCAACATAAATTAACAAAAAGATCAGTAACAAAATAAAACGGTCAATCCAAGCATTTGTAAAGAAGCAGCATCATAATTTCGATTGCTGGTGACTATCAGGAATCCGATTTTTTACCCTATGGAATGTCGGTACGACTAAGTAAACCGCGGCCATGTCAGTAGGTAAGGTAAAGTTTACCCGTTCTCTTCCTTTTGACTGCTTCGTTCGTAAAGTTTCTAAATATCTCTTGCGTATAGGTATTTTCAAACCGTTTGAACCTTTGAAAATCTCTCTTGCTGTATGCACTGGCTGCGAGATTTAGAAGCTTGTAAATCGATCTGATGCATCATGTTTTTCGTAGGTTCAGGAAACTCGTTCATTTTATCAAGAATAACATCCAATTGTTTTAATTTTTGTTATTTTTCGTGTATTGCCACGTGGCGTGTCTGTTATTCAGGGTCGGCCAGGGTTTTTGGGTGTACGGTATACAGGGGCTTTTTAAATCGGGTATACGGTTTGGCGAATTTTTTTCGGGTATACTGGTATACCACCACCCCCCCCCCCCCCCCCACCCCTGGCCGACCCTGGTTGTTTCAAATATCGTGTGGCGTGCAACTGAAGAGGTCATAAGACGAAACTAGTTTTGTAAAATCGCCTAGATAAAATAGTGTGTTGAAAGTGGGTCTCCATTAGATTTTTCTTTTCTCTGTTGACATAACATCCAATTACAGTAAAACCTATCTAGTGAAATTACATTAAAGTAAAAGTATCCTGCTCTTTTAGCCAATGACACATGTAACTCAAAGTAAATCCGAGTTCCGACCTAAACCCTTCTGGTTACCAGCTTAAATGTTCTTCTATTGCTGAATTACAAGCTACTCGTAGGAGCTAAACCCCTTAAGGCGAACGTTTCATGAGATAAACATGCTACGCACTTCCTAGTTTAATGGCCTTTTTCGCCACCAGTCTCCTTTTGTTCAGTGGTAGAGCAGTTGGACAACTAACTGTGTTTATAGGAATGATAAAGGATCCCTTTCTTTTTATAGCTAACAAGACGAAAAGCCAGAAGTCATACCTGTCACCTGGCCGTCACGCATTCCAATTTAGCTTCAGAATACCTCCTTACAGTCTGCCATCGTCTTTCGAAAGCAAGTATGGTTATGTTAGGTACTGGATAAAGGCACGAATACACAGGAGGTGGAGATTTGACGAGGTTGCCAAAGAGATGCTCAATATTTTGAGCGTAGTTGACGTCAACTGTCCTCGTATGTTGGTAAGACATACCCATATGTTATATTCAAGAGACTATAAAGGGGACAGAGAGGGCATCCCCCATATACACCCTATTCCATAGGTAATTCGTCTCGAGTTATTTTTAACACCACAGATCTCAAGGGGGATTAGACTACAGCCAATCACATAGCGCGAATGTGTTCCGCGTGGATGACCCACGCTGAGAGCCACGCGTCCTTCACGAAATGACGCAGAACAAAATGGGGGAAGACGCGGAGAGCGATTTTGCTATTCCTTTTGTCGACGAAAACGACTACAGCGAGATTTCCGCGAAAGCTGTGTCAGCGAAACCGAAATTAAAAAAGAATCGCCCTTCCTCTCTTGTATAGAGCTAACAGTAGAGCAGGGAAATCCTTAACACACTGAATATTCTCTCAGGATCATTTATAATTTACAGTTTGAGGAGAGCAATTTCTGGTTTGATGTTTATTTTTTTCAGTCTTTATAGCGATTATTCCTACCCACTTACTTTGTCAATTGTAGGCGAACCCTCCTAAAGCTGAATTTCAAGGGACCATATTCAAGCCCAGAAAGAGAAATAAAATTTCGTCGTTGCTTATTTACGTCCTCCATAAAACGCGAAATTAGGCATTTTCACGTCGTAGTCGTGCAAAAACGGGAAAGAAATGAACAAAAAAGTGTGTTGCACATGCGAAGTTGTTGTTTTGCTAATGAAACCTATTGTTTTTTTGACGTTCTAGTTGTCGTCCGCGTCGTTGGATCTTAAACTCCCTAAACTGTACAAACGACCGGTTTCAATAGACCGGCGAAATTTCTCATTTTATTAAAGCACTGAGGTTACGACAACTTCGAGTTAAACTGATTTCACGGGTTGTCAAAGAGTCCAGCGACTCCTTTTTCCCAGGTAAGCGCCGACTCATTTCGCTTCAATATTCAGGAATGCTCTCGATCTTTTTACGCTCTCATTGCCTCTCCCCCGACATGTTTTGCACGGCGTTTGGTCATGCGAAACCTCCACGAAACATCCACGCCTCGCGCGAGGCAACTTTATCCCGATTCTAAAAATAACTCGAGACGAATTACCTATGGAATAGGGTGTATATGGGGGATGCCCTCTCTGTCCCCTTTATAGTCTCTTGGTAATATTGTATTGCGCCCATGTGGTTGCACAGATTTGGCACTTGAATTTTATCGAATTTTTATCCTCCATTCGTCTTTTTAAAGTGTTTTATTACATCTACCTTAATCTTAACTACTTCACGTTTGCGGGTATATTGATGTATACGAGAAATTTCCTTTTTTTTGACTGCGGAATTGCTGGAAATCGACAAGCGAAAACCTTGGTTACGGACTAATTCACAGGCCCTTGTGAAGGCAAGTATGGTCAAATCTTAAGAATCTCAACTTGCTCTCTCCGAGGAGTGCACAACGTGGGAGGAACCACCTAAGACGTCTAAACGATAGACCTATCAGCAAAACTTACGAGAGAAACGGTGTGGTGCAAACCAAAGTAATTCATTAAATATTCCAGTTGACATCTTTGCAGCTGAGACAACCTCTCATGGGACCTTGCATTCAACAATCCATGGAAATAATTCTCAGAAATCAAAAGTAACCTTGGCACACTTGAACGTATGATCGTTGAAAACAAGAGAGCATTTGATTCAAGTGAGGAATTTAATGGATGAAAAGAAGTATGCAATCTGGGCAATTTCAGAATCTTGGCTAAATGCAAGTGTAAAGGATGCCCAAGCCACCGGCTGCTTACGTTGTCGCTAGGAGCTATGGGTACTACGATCCTCGGAGCTTTTTGAGCGACCTTAACAAGATCCCTTGGTATGAAAACATTTTGTCTTACGATGTAAATGAGAAACTGCTTCGTTTCAATAAAGCCTTTTTTCGGGTTCTGGATAATCATGACCTATTAAGAAAATTAAAATAAAACATTGGAGATGTCCATTTATAAATGAAGAGATCAAAGACAAAATGGCAAAAAGAGATCAAGCTCATAAAATCGCGCCAGAGACAGGTGCTCTTGTAGATTGGCAGAATTATCGGGACTGTCGTAATGACGTTAAGAGGGTATTATGCGAGGTGGAGAGGGAGTATGTCCAGAATGAGGTTAAAAAGAATCAGAGCTCTAGTGAACAGTGGAAGGTGATACGTAATTGCATACCAACTAGGGAGAAGTCGCGCCCAGCGTATGATAGGGATATGAAAGAACTTGCGACGGAATTCAATGAATTATTTACGAAGGTGGGAGTAGGTGCAGCAGAGGAAGCCAAAAGACTCGCATCAGTCAATGGTCTAACTACTTCACATCAGGAACTCACTGTCAGTTTTATGCCCGAAGAAGATGAGTTTCGACTGATTTCGGGCTGCTACCTCTTTCGAGATCAACAGGATTGTACAATCATTCCTTCAAATAAAGGACCAGGGAAAGATAAATTACACATGGCAGTGGTTAAAGATGCTCTACCGGCTATCCTCCCGATTTTGACCGAGATCATTCAATTTTGACATCTGTATTTCCCTCATCATGGAAAGAATCTGAAATTGTTCCAGTTCTAAAGGATGGTGGAGATCCGGAAGTAGCCAACGAGAATAGACCTGTGTCGTTGTTACCTGCCCTATCTAAAATAGTGAACGAGTAGCCTTAAATCAATTCACCGAATATTCAATAAGGAGAAACTGTCTCAGTGGACACCAGAGTGGGAATAAGAAACGGCATTCGACAAAGACACTCAATATTTTTATGTCAAATCTAGGCCTGGAGGCAATGGATCGCAAGCAAGTCTCTGCCTTGGTGTTATTAGATCTTTCCAAGGCATTTGACAGCATTGATCACATGTCCTTGTTAAAGAAGCTACGTGCAATGGGTACCTGTAAAGAAGCAATAGAATGGTTTGGAAGCTACTTGACCGGAAGAAAACAGTTGGTGAGAATTGGTTGCGAAACATCTGAACCCCGCCTAGTCTCGTATGGTGTACCACAAGGATCAATCTTGGACCCGGCATTGTTTAATATCTACATCAACGATCTATCATCTGTACCTAACGTAGGGTCGGTAGAGTGCTGTGTTGATGACTCACAGTTATACATCTCATTTCCTGTACGTGATCCCACCTTAGCCGTGGATCAGCAGACAGAAGATCTTCGGAACATAGCCGCATGGTTTTGCAAAAACAGTCTACTCATTTAAAACCCAGACAAGACTAAACTTCTGGTTCTGGGGACTCCTGAGATGCTGATGAAGATACCAGATGATCTAAGCATTACACTACTCAGCAAGGAGATTACATCATCCAAGTCTGCGAAAAACCCTGAGGGGTTGCAATGGACTGTAATCTAACGTGCGACGAACATGTAATTCAATTAACTTCGAAATGTATAGGCATTAGCCTTTATTAAATAAATCGCGTAAAATACCTGTTTGATAGGCGTACGTTGATCATTATAATTAATTCTCTCGTATTCAGTAAATGATTGTATTGTTCATCGGTATGGGCTAATTCCACCAAGAAAAACATCGAGCTGTTACAAACAGTGCAAAATTTTGCAGCCCGGATTAGTTTCTGGAACGAGGAAATTTGATCATATGACACCTATTCTTGAGCAGTTACAGTGCTGCCAATTATTAAACAACTTTGGTTAGGGATGCTACCACGGTATTTAAATGCTTAAATGGACTGGCACCTCCATATTTTTGTCAGAAGTTTAAAACCATATCGGAAGTGCACAACTGCAACACTAGGAATAGGGACCGCCTACATATACCACTCTCTAGGACGGCTGCAGGTCAGCGCGCGTTTACCTTCAGAGGCCAAAAGCTGTGGAATAGTCCCCCAGACGAGTTTATGTCTATCACTAATTTAGATGTATTTAAAGTAAAAATAAAACAGCATTTTTTAAGGGTATTTTTGGAAAACTAAGTTTTAGATATTTGACACTGTAAATTAAGCTGAAAAGCCTTTTTGAGGAGATTAATAAAGTTATTATTGTTAACTACTTTTTAAGCGTCAGTATATGAACAGATGTTAACGATGGAGTAATTTAGTGAGGACATTATTGAGGCAGGATCGCTATTTCTTCTTTATCATCTCAGCCGAAAAGAGTGTCTCGCAGTTTGGAGGAACAAGGCCATGACATTTTTTCCTCATTTATTCCACAGGGTATTCTTCTGGTCCTGGAAATCTGTGAGCTCCACGCTCTGCAATTTATGGATGCAAAGATCACACTGCCCTTTATAGTTTCCTTTACCGATTTGGTTTATGCAACTCAGCTCCTTAATTTAGTTCGCGATACAAAGACCAAGAATAAAGCGGCATTGTTTATTGTTTTATATCTCGTAGATGACATTCGTTGACATTCGCTTTGAGTTAGATGCGGCAGCTACAGTTCACAACTTGCAGTAGTATTTTCGCTCCACCGACAAATTCCTTCCGAGTCTCATCTTCCTTAGGATTTTTCTCTAATTTTTAGCTTCTAGGTAAAGACTCTGCTAAGAAACTTGTGCTTAGTATTCCATTTCACCTCACACTAGAGGAGATTTGCACCGCGCAAGCTTTTCGTTGGCGTGCACCATCGGCAAATGGTAGATAGCTAACTGACCAATCAGAGCGCGCTCTTTATCTTTGTTATTTTATAACTTTCCTACGCTTCAGTCGGCATATCGTCCTAACCATAGCACTGAAACAACCCAACTCAAAACTAAAAATGACGTTTTAATGAACATGGACAAACGTCATGCTACGTTTCTTATCCTTCTGGCGCCGGTTATTCAAACGTTGGATAGCGGTATCCACTGGATAAGTCACTATCCAGCAGATAGCGTAAATGGTTTTCCCAATACTTATCCGCTGGATCGTGATCTATACGGCGGATAGCACTACAGTAAAAACCCACGAGTAAGAACCTACATTTTTTGGAGTGAGCCTAAACAGGTTCTTATTTAAGTAGTAGTTAACACAATTTTAGGCTATTTAGCTTCTTATATAGGTTCTTATTTCTGTAAAAAAAACAAAACAAACAAAACAAGCTACAAAACAAGATGGTAATCAGCCTGTTTTTCAATTTCGAACTGATGCGATACAACAATATTAACCTCTTGCACTTTATTTTTTTATTACGTCAATAAATTAGCACTTTTATTTGCAAAGCAATGCCAAGCTACTAATTCTCCAAAAGGATTCTTTCACAGCTTTGCAGCTGCATTTTTCTAGGCTAAACAGGTTCTTGTTTATAGGGGGTACAAATGGCAAATTTTAGTCTAACAATGCAAGTTCTTAATTTCCAGGTTCTTACTCGCGGGTTTTTAGTGTATTTTACGTTTGAACAACTGGGGCCCGGACCTCAGCGGCGCCTTTCATACAGTTGACCCTCAAATTCTCCGAAACCGTCTATGCACAGAATTTGGTGTGTCTGGAAAGTCCTAGACTGTTTCGCCTCGTACTTATCATATCGCTTTCAGAAAGTTACAGTTGCTGACGTATTGTCAGACCGGTTTAGTATCGATTTTGGGGTCCCCCCGAGGTAGTTGTCTAGGTCCTCTGTTATTCGTCATTTATTCCAGTAAACACTAGCCCAACGTACATGCCTATGCTGATAAAACTCATTTATATTTGGCCTTTTAACCGGGTGATTACACGAACGAAGCTGCTGCTGTATCATTTATACAATCTTATGCCCGTAATGTACAGACCTGGATGCTGATGGATGAATTAAAACTTAATCCTGACAAAATGGAATTTCTTATCCTTGGAACACATGACATCAACTCGACAAAGTAAAGATCTCACACCTTATTGTTGGTGAATTTTGGATGTAAGTCCTTCAACACAAGTAAAAAACTTGGGATCGTGGCTTGATTCTAATCTAGATATGCTTAGTCGTCTCAATAGTATCTGCAGCTCGTCTTTTTGTTATATATACAATATACGTAGGATTAGAAAGTATCTGTCTCATCAAACCGCCATATCCCTTATCCATGCGTTTATTACCAGTAAATTGGACAACTGCAAGAGCCTATTATACGGCCTTCCTACTGTTCTCATTCATTAACTTCAACGAGTTCAAAATGCTGCTGCCAGACTTGTAACTAACACCCCCCTCGTATCTGTCACATTTCTACTGATTTAAAAGGTCTTCACTGGTTGCCCGTCAAATACAGAATGAAATTTTAATTTCTGTTATCAACATTCAGGTGCCTCTATGGACTAACACCTCAATATTGCTGTCGCTGCCGCTGCCCCCCCCTCCCCCCGGAGGTCGCTGCCCAGTGAAGATATAATCTTAGGTCCAGGAATGCGATTTTGCAGGTACCAGCCAACATATGGTGCTTACCTACACTTGGTGACCGAGCCTTACAGTCGGCAGCTCCCAAACTGTGGAACGGTCTTCCGGCGGAGATCAGAAACATTCAGAGACATATCTTTTAAGAGAGCTCTCAAAACGTACTTTTTTATGAGAGCTTTTAATTGACTTATTCTTATCTTATCGTGTGTAATGCGCATATGACAATATTTTTTTTGTGTATGCGCAATAAAAGTTTCATATTTATTATCATTTGCTAGATGCCAACACTTGGAGAGGCTCAGAAATCGCTCAACTGCCTGTGCAATGGAATGGCCTCCCCACTCAAGCTAATAGCGGTCACTGATAGAAGTGCGTACTGCCCCCGAGAGCGTGTAATGCTGACAACCGATATCAAGAACCTGCCTCTGACCCAGACGTACTATACATCAATATTTCTCATGCAAACAATCACTTTTAAGTCCCGCTGTGGCAAGTTGAGAACAGAACGATGCCAGCGAAAACTGATCCGGCGGTCTTCGCTCTCATGGGCAGTCGACGAGCTGGAAGTCCCGGATGTTCCTCCGACCATGAAGAGTTGTGGGATTCTATCCATAACATATCATATTAAGGTTAGTCAAGATATTGCTTAAGTGAAAATGGCGTTCATTTTAAAAAAGTAAAGTATGAACAAAAGTGCCGTTCTTTCCAAACTGTTTCGGGCCTGGCCCTTACAAGTACGTTATTTTGTATACGCCATGAATTAAGAAATAAAACTTTGAAGTGTGCGGCCTAGCCTTTAAGCGCTTCCGTTAACCGTTTTCTCCGCAGAGCATAATTCCGAGCGTCGTTGATAGAGTGACCAACCGTGTTAAAAAGTTCGGCAACAGGAAAACCCAACAATTCCTTCTCAATGCCTCGAAGGTGCACGCTAAAACGTTGTCTTAGAGTACGCCCAGTTTCGCCGATATAGATGGCAGGGCAAAGGCGACAGGAGATGCAGTAGACTAAGCCAGACGTTTTGCAAGAACACGCCTTCTTGATTACAAAAGACCATTGAGAACCATGGACGATTTCTACCTGCAGCTGTTTGATTTGTTAAGAAAATGTCGTCTCTCGAAAATGAAGCTAAACGGAACGCATAAGGCCGGATTCAAGTCTTACAACATTGAATAGTTAAGGATATTGCTGTCCAATACTAATAGGCGTTAGTCAACTTGTCCCGCTGTTATGCGTGATTTATTAAGATCCTTACCAAACTCTTTTGCTGAAAATATCAGACTGGACTGAGGTACAAATCACGTCCAAAACACACTTTACACTGCAAACAGTTCAGTTTACCTTGCAGGCTTTCTTGATTGTTTATGCTTCTTTCATTCGTTTCTTAGCTGGTTGCATGGGATGAACTGATTCAGGTTTGGGGCCTAGGGAATCACCCTCTCTCCTTTTCTATTAAACAGTTTTGTGTCAATTTTAAAGAATTATTGGGAAAAATAATAGTATCTATTGTGCTTTTGTATTTTCTCCTAAGGTAGTGCTGACAACAGGCGAATCTAAAGGATCAAATCTAGAGGTAGAACTGCCTATAACCATCGGAACAGTTCCCCTTAGGCGCTCGTATGGAATGATTAACAGACTAATGCCCTTGGCACATTTGAGTAGGAGTTACAGTGGAGAGTCCAAGACTTTTGTCACCATCAAAAGGGGTATGACATTTTTGTTTTCTACTAAAGCACATCCCTAGGGTAACTTTCATTAAGGTGGATAACTTGAGCAGCAACTGAGCTTAAAACACTGTGCAAGTGTATCAAGGTACATCACTGATAACAGTCATTACCGCGTCTCGCTCGTATCCTGGTTTGTGTGGTGTGTGTGCAGCAGCAATGACTAGATATCGAATGGAATCTTTCTGAGGAAACAAAACATGAAGGGTGCTTCAGCGAGATTTTTTTATTATGAATAGGCAATTTTTTTCTCAGAAACGTTCAATCACTAAATATTGAGATTATATTTTTTATTGTTTTGTTTTGGTCTGCTTTCTAGTTAGAAACTATTCCACGGCAGCAATCACTACTTGACAAGTCATGTACACCTATGTGATGACAAACGTGATCTACAATTATTCAGCTTCAGCAAGAAAAGATTTTGTTAAGGGCCGGTTACTCAGCTGACTCAGGATAATGAAGACTTAAGAAATTAGAAGCACAGTGTTTCCAAGTCAATCTAGAACATCAGCGGGTGTCCTTATTAGGCGGGCTCTTTTTCCGTAACTATTGTCCAGACATGTTTCATCGACGGATAAAAAGCCTAAGGCATTCAACTTGTCAGCAATGACTAACGACATTTAAAGTATTACCTGTATTACCTACAACGGTTATGCGCAAACTGAGGAAGGTGGCTCGCTCAAATAGTTTTACACTATAGGGCCTAAAGTTTGGGGCTTTGCTGTTCGGCCTAAACTGAGATGCCGACAGAATATCAAGCAAAAACTGTAAGATGTCTAAGATTGCTAGCCTCTTCTTCTAGGTTCTCACAGGTAATATGTACGAATTCGGCAGATCACTGGTGTCCCGCGTTAAACGAGGTTAAATTTGCATGACTGAAGCCCTTCATTTGGGTGACACAAAAACCCCCTAATGAAAGAGAAAATGCTTGAATTTTCCGTCAGAAGAAAGAAGAGTTTATAACCTAGCATAATCGTATTGTACTTGGTATGGGAGTGTCCGTAGAGCGAGGCTCCACTGTAGTAGAGTCTTAAATTAAAGAGGGCAGTATCACTGTAAACATTGCATTCGATAATGGGCAAATAAAGACTGTATTTAAAGTTTAAGAGAAAGCTGTAACTTGGTAACTGTTATCCCCCCCGGTATACCTCCTACCGAGTTTGACACATGGAGAATAAAACTTGCCCCGGGGTTACCTAAATCATTTGCTAGCGTGGATATGTGAATAGTACATCCCTTCATTGCCCTTACTTTACCCTGCAGTAAATTACTGAAAAACTCAGTCTCCCACTTAAATATAATCAGGAGAAGCTAGGAGAGAATGAGGGAAGCTTCCCTTGGTTTACTCGTAGTTAAAAGAAAACTATACATCTTAAGAATGATAAATCTAGGTAGTAGAAGTTGTATTATTTAGATATGAATGAGGTGAAACTCCGCATTTAGAGCCACAGAAAAGTATGAGATAATTTTAATTGCGGGCGACAATAGGAGCCCGCAATCCTAATCTCCAGGTTGTTATTACGCATGCGTCGCATGTATGTAGCCAGCTTTCGTTTGGTCTCCCACTTAGAATGAATGGAATGATCACGCGCGTTTGGGCCTTCTATCTCTCGTAATCTGGTCACGCGCGTTTTGACCATCTGTCATTTGAAACGTACGCAAAGCACAGCGATGGAGCAAGAGCGTTGACTTGTACTTCGATAGTTGTCGCCTACACTCCGTAACCTTTGGTTATTACGAGAAATAATAATAATAATAAGAAGAAGAAGAAGAAGAAGAAGAAGAAGGAGAAGAATAAAGGTCGTTTTTAATCATTCATTCTGCAAACAGACGTGCAACAATTTAAATGGAAGGAAAATGAATGAAGGAAAGCGAAAAATACACAAAGAAAACGACTAAATATATATTAGTTACTATTACAAAGACATCTATTTATAAAAACTGACTTAAACGACTTGTCCGAACATCACCTAGAATATAATTATGCGACCTAGTTCTCATCTGTCGTGTTCCATGGAGAGGTCAAGGTCGCTCAACGCAGTGTTGGTGGAAGTGATCCCTCGCCATACTGTACTGCTTTAAGCAGTAACCTAACTCAAAACTCCTAGCAAAGAGCTTATCAATTCTACGTAAATATTTGCTCCTCAGTTAGCATATGTGAAGACGGAAAGGATCAAACTTTGAAGAAGTGAGTCCAAATTCCTAATAGAGTACCCATAATATTTACATATTCTTATAATATACAACTTACTGTTAGCCTTACTAGGTAAATAATCTATAGGAGTGTCCCAATTAACTGGCACTTGCTCAAATGTAACGCCCAACAGTTTCAGTTTCTCTTTCCTCCCTATGATCTCTAGTGGTTCAGGAGGCGTCCTGATAGTCCTTCCTCGTAAAAGCAGTTCCCATGTTTTTGTCAAATTAACTTTCGTGCAGTTGTTCCATGACCATTCAATAAAGGATAGGACTTTCGTTCCAAACTTATCTAAGCCTACATTTGCCTCATTTGACAGGCTAACAGTTATGTAAAACTGTCCATTTCTCTACATACAAGATCGAGTAATTTGAAGTCACTTTCCTGGAAAATTATAGCCCTGACAAACAAAAGGGCTGGCTCTAAGTTTAGTCAAGAGAGAATGCTCATTTTCTCTTGGTTTAGTAAGATTCATAGTTTGTGTTAAATGATAAGAAGTTTTGGAAGTTGTTCAAGTTTCCAATTCTCGCGTAACTCTGAAAAACTCCTACGTATAATTACGGGCACGCAGGGCGAAAACAAGCATGGTTACCCCATCTTTTTATTGCAGTTTTGTAGTGTCTTATTTGAAAAAATCCTTTCAGTATATCGTTTTTCAGGAACGAGATCGAAGCCGGAGTTTAGCTACTACCAGAGAGAGCAGCGAAAATCGAGCCTACAGGAAGGCAGGGAAATTAACAAAATGTCTTTGATATAGGGGACCTTGAGCGGGGATAGTAAAAACAACAACAAAAATAACAATAATATGAATAATTAGCATCACTAGCGATAATAATAATAATAATAATAATAATAATAATAGTGATAATAACAATAATGATAATAATAAAGGGTAGCAGGTAGTCACTCATAAAGCAGTGATATCACTACTACTTCAGGGAGTGGTCGCCCTTGCCCATACAAGTACCGGGCTCAGCTGGCTCCGGGTGATAGCACCTGGAAAGCGCCCCTGCCCACGGTTACGAGCATAACATAGAGAATGACTGGTCATATTTATTTATTTATTTATTTATTTATTATTTATAAACTTCGCCAAGAGGCCTGGATCACTCACAAAGCAAGCTCCACTACGAGGTCCAGAAAAAAAAGAAATGACAATTAGTAATACAACGAACATGAATGACAATACTTTAGAAACGACAAAGAAAAGAAACGGAAATGCAAAAACAGAATTGGGGAGGACATCGATAAAAAAACAAAATCAACAAAATCAACAACACATACGATCGAGCAAGCTGTTCAATGGCCGACTAGTGTGGCACTTAATACGCCCACTCGTGTCGACATCACTGATAAACAGACTTAGTGAGATACAAGTTGTAATTAAAATGATCAGTGTTCCGGAGGTTGGCCGGTAAAGTATTCTGACCAGATTCTTGGGGCTACTAAAGTTACATGCCGCATTTGTCGCGCGGAGAAATAAGAGCGCCTTCTTCACTGAGGGACCAGGGTGAGGTTGGCAAGTATGGTACTGGAACAAACTCTTACCAACAAGATATATCAGAGGATATCCACGAGGAGGAACCCCCTCAAAGAGGCCCCTCTATGTACTAACACCAAAACCACTACTAAAAGGACACACAAAAATGGACTTTACATTATGGAAGCATATTAAATTACATTGCCACCCTGAACCCTTCAGAGACATCTGCCACTGAAAAGCAACAACAAAGTGCTTCATAAAAATCAACTACAGTTTCGAATGTAGTTACCTAAGCAGCGGTTTTTCTGGTTTTCGAACGATACTCGAATTGAGACGAGTAGTATCCGAGCTCGAGAGTGAATGTGCGTTGGCACTGTTGCGTAACCTTTGAAATACAAGGATCAGGGGCACCCAACGAGAATATAGTTCAAAACCACTTAAACATAGCATTGTTAAATGTATTTAGTATTTGAACGGTAGATATAGGCATACTTTTATCCCCTAAAAATTTTTCATCTGTTCGGATTTCCTAGCTGAAAGTCTAATGATCCGAAAATTATAGGGATCAAAACTTATCTTTTCGAAAATTTCAGCCAGAAAAAAAGGCTCCTGAAAATTCTAGGTGCCCTTTTTTAAGGGGAAAAATCCGTCAGAAATGGGCAATTATATCATTTTTTAGACGTTCGAAAATCCTAGGAGAGGCAGGCAAGCAAAAAATTTTACAACAAATGTTCCGAAAATTCTAGATCTCAAATCATCTTCCGAACAGATATTTTCCGAAAATTGACGTTGGATGCCCCTGAAGGATTTGTATGGGAAAAAAGATTGACATTTCTGAAGCCTACAGACATGAAAGAGATTTAAATAAAAGCGGTTCACCTTACTTTGGTTTTATGTTTCGTCTTTCTTGTGTGGATTTTTAGCCGATTTATGGCAATATTATGGGTCTTAGGTTACAGAACTCCAACAATCGTTTTCTCCACACATATCTCGACATATCCATATATTTCCGAGGTTACGTAACAGTGCCCACGCGCTCTAGTTGTTTGTCGACGTGACCCTGTTAGTGACACCGCTTGGCTCAAGAAACTCTTAAAACATAAAGATACAAAAAGGGGCCGATTACTTTGCATGTTTAGATCTAAGACAAGTTTGTTCGGACAGCAATGAATGGGTAATTTAAAATTAATACTTGCCTTTTATCATTTAAAGTTATTAAAGCTATATTGTTGATCCTGATCTACATCAACATCCAGCTTCCCTTTGCTGCTGTTTGTCCAAGTGGTCCTTGCAAGACTTCGACAGTA